TCTTCAGTTCCTCACAGGCCATCCAGAAAAGCATGTTTTCTTCACTGAATTCTGTTCGAAGAAATTCTCGGAAGGCATTTCTTCCCGCTGGAGTGATCATTAACTTGTCAAATGACTGGGCCCAGGCATTGACTTCTTCCAGAGTAGGGGTGGGGCTGAGTGGAGACCAGAACAAAGGGGACAAAAGGCAACGGTTATTGGTAGTTCATTTGAATCGCATCAGCAGAAACATATCCTTCCCCCTCTGAGAATGAAAAATGTATGCCCTTTTTAGGCCCTTTTAGGAGGGAAAGAGCTCTTCTCATTTCCTTAAGCCTTCAGCAGAAACACACAAGTACGGTACTTCAAAATCGTTTAGCTGGGTGGCATGGCTAATGCGAAAATGCTTCAAACCAAGTTGCTAGAATAATTGCTAAGAATATACTTGCTTACATCTGGCAATATTTTTAAATTATAAAAGTAAAAAAAAAAGTCCTACAAGCACCTGACCCCAAACTCCCTAATCACCTATGACAGAACTAAGTCAGACCTGACAACACTAACCTCTAGAACAATGGGGCGGTGTCTATTTCATATTTTTTAAATTATGTAATATTTGAGAAAGAGAAAAGGACATATGTAATATAACGACAAAACGAACGCTTATGAATTCACCATTTACCTTCAGAACCAGAAGACCACCAGCGAAGCTGCACTTTCCTTGGTCATAGTGGACGTGCTTTCCCTTCCCAGCCTCATCCCCAGGGAACTTGATTTTGGGTTTGACCCGTTTTGTGTTATTTTTTACTTCTATTTTAACTCTACTGACATCAGAAAACACAATCTGTTTAATAATGATCCTTAGAATCTATTTTCCCTTACTTTTCCCTCCAGTTTTTATACATGTATGTATCCCTGAAGAATGTATTCTTTAGTTTTCTTAACTTTATAAAAATGGCTTACTATATGCTGTCTTCTGCAACTTGCTTTTTTCAGCCAACATTAAGTTTCTAAGATACACCCACGTTGTTGTATGTGGCCAGAATTCCTGAGTAGGACTCACCTCTAACTCTCCATTCTAGTACTATCCTCATCTGGTTCTGGTATCACTATTACATTAGCCTCTTAGATATTGGGTAATTATACAAGAGCTGTATAACCTTGGAGTGATCTATGCCTGGAATGTTTTGTGAATCTAGCCTATAAAGCCATCAGGATTTAGTGTTTACTCTGCAGAAAAATGTTATGGGTGGAATTGTGTCCTCCCCCCAAAATATGTTGTAGGTCTACCCCCAGTACCTCAGAATGTGACCTTATTTGGAAATAGGGTCTTTGCAGATTTAACCAAGTTAAAATTAGGTCATTAGAGTGAGCTCTAATCCAATCTGACTGCTGTCCTTATAAAAAGGGGAAATTTGAACACACACACAGACACACACAGAAGGAAGATGATATGGATACACAGAGAGAAGACGGCCATGTGACAGGAGCAATGTTATCCACAAGTGAAGGAATGCCAAGGATTGCTGGCAACCACCAGGATCTAGAAGCGGCAGGATGGATTCTCCCCGGAGCCATTAGAAAGCACAGAGAAAGCACGGCTCTGCTGACACCTTGACTTTGGACTTCTAGCCTCATTCGGAATTGAGAGGTAATAAATTTCTTTTGTTTTAAGCTACCCAGTTTTTGGTACTTGGTTACAGCAGTCCTAGCAAACTAATAGAGAAGGTTATTAATTGCTGATATAGTTTACTAGTTATAGGACTATTCTGACCCTTTGTTTCTTCTTGAGTCTGTTTTAGTAATTTCCCCCTATTTAGGAATTTGTTCAGGGTGTCTAAATTATCAAGTTTTTTGGCATAACTTGTTCCTAGTGTTATCATATTATCAGTTTCTGCTAGATTTCTATATTTTCATTTTTGTTCCTAATATTATTTCATTGTGGCTTCTCTTTATTTTTTTCACCCAATCACAGCAGAAGATGTCTATTATATGTCTTTTTAAAGAATCAGCTTTTGCATTGATCTTCTCCATAGTATCTCTGTTTTCTGTTTCATTAGTTTCTGTGCTTATATATGAATATCTCCCTCCTATTTTTTTTGCATCTATTCTTAAATTGGATGCTTATACTGAATTAGTATTCAGTCTTTCTTCTTTTCTGTTGTAAATATTTATGGCTGTATGTTTTTCTCTGTTTACTACTTTCCCTGCATCCCATAGATTTGATATGTAGCACTTTCATGTGGACCATTTATAAGGTTTTTTTGGAAACACTTTATTATGATTTATTCTTTTACTTAGGAGTTACATGGAAATGATTTTAAAAATATCAAACATAAGTGAATTGTTAGTTTGTTTTTTTTATTTCTGACTTCTAATTGTATTGGGGTCTGAAAGTCTGTTTAATAATGATCCTTGAAACTTATTGAGATATTTTATGTGGTAATGCTTGATCAATTATTATAAATGTTCTATGTATGCTTGAGAAGAATATGCTTGGGTAGATGCAGGTTTTTACATATGACCAATAAATATAGCTTGTTAACTGTATTTTTATTTTTTTTTTAATTTTTATTTTATTTATTTATTTTTTTGTCTTTTTGTCTTTTTTCGTGACCGGCAACGGATCGCAACCC